GGTCAGCCTCGGCCTCCTGACCCAGCCGAGCCCAGGGCGCCCTCCTCAAGGCCTATCACTGCCCACATTCCTGCTCCCCCAGGGGACCCAGCCCGCAGCTCGTCCCAGCCAGGCTGTGGGTGTGAGAGGAGCGCCTGTCAGCCTCCAGGCCCCTTTCCCAGGCGGAGACACGGCCGGAGCTGACCCGCGTCCACCCAGGCAGGCAGGGCAGCCTGTGGCACCCTGAGCACACGTGAAGGCACCCGGACGGGGCAGCAGACCTGCCCACCTGGAGCAGGTATCAGCCGGGCAGGGCTGGGGCCAGGCCTCAGGGCCCGCAGGCTTCCCGGACACCCTGACGAGGACCCCAGCCCTGCCCTGGACGCCCCCAGAGCCGAGGAGCAGCAGGAGATGGGGAACATGTGGGGGGTGGGGGGATGTGGGGGACGCAGAGCCCCAGGAACGAGTGCTGTTTCCATGCTGGGCGGCGTCGGCCTCACAGGGAGAAAGCTGCTCCCCGCCCCGCCCCACAGCCTCCTTATCCCCTGGAAGGAAGGTCAGCAGGGTCTCCGCAGAGCCTCACCCCTGGTGTGGGGGGAAGGCAGGCCTGGACCCCTGAGGCCCGCCCCCAGAGAGACACCTGACTTTCTCCGGAAGGTGGCGTCTTTGCCCCCTGGGCAGGGGCTCCAAAGGCACAGGGTGCCCAGGCCACACACCAGCCAGTGGAAGAGGCCTCCCAGACTGCTTTCAGGGCTGAGAGGGGTTCTGAGGGGGAGGGGAGGGGAGGGGAGAGGAGAGGAGGGAGGGGAGGGGACAGGTCCCCAGCCTGGATGTAGGTCTCCATTCCTGGGCCTGGTTAGGGTCCTGGTCCCCCCGTCACCCCCAGACCTGATGTAGCCCTGACCCCTGGGCCTGGTCAAGAGAAGACAGTGAGGCTGGAGCAGAGGGCAGTGCCCCAAGGCCCAGGCGGGAATGGATCCCTCAGGTTGGGGCAGCCCTTCCCTCCGTCCCCTGCACCCCCGAAGCTGGCGGGGGGCCTGGGAGCCCGCTGCAGGCGCTGGGCCTGGCGCAGGCTTTCCCTGGAGCCCCCTGAGGCGGGAGTGCAGATGAGGAAGAGACGAGGTTCAGAGTTACCCACCCAAGGGCCTCACGGACTCCGAAGTCTGGCCCGGAGCAGCTTCCCCTGGGGGGCCCCTCGGAGAGCTGGGCGGCCAGGACGAGCTCTGCCCTGGACCCCACTTTTCTCCCCGGGACCCACGGCCTCTGTGAGCCTCCGGTCGGAACCTGCCGAGGTCTGGGGGGAGGGCTGGCCCCCACAGAGCCTCGCCTGGGACACGCTACTCCGGCACCAGCCGCTCCGGTGAGCAAGCACACGGCTCCCGCTCCCGGAGGGTCTCCCAGAACATCACACACACACAGCGGCCAGCAGAGCTTCCCCGCAGTGACATCCCGATTCCCTGTTGGCTCTGCCCGCACGTGGCCGTGGCCACCCCTGAGCCCCACTCCATTCCACACATGCGCACAGGGCCCGGCTTGCAGGGGACAGAGAGACCACCGCAGGCGCTTGCCTCTCACGGGCACACACACACACACACACATACACGTGCGTTCACACACATGCTCATGCACAAACGTGCGTGCACACGCACACACATGCTCTCACACACACACACTCTCACACGCTCACACCTGGGCCTGGCGACGCTCCGGAGTGAGGGCCACGGCGCCCTCCGGCCAGGCCCCGC